TGTGGAATGTGAAAAAGACAATTAATTTGAGCACATTTATTTTTTTATTTAAGCAAATACAAATCAGAGATAAAGAGAATATTAATGTAAATTAAGTTGCTAATTGCTAATTACTCTAAGCAAACAAGGTATTAGCAAAATATGTTTTCACATTTTATCAATTCAAAAACTGAAGGGATTTATTCAGAGTTAGAGATATACATGGGAAGTGTGTGTGGGAAAGATTTATTCAGATACAAACTACAAAACAAGAAAATAAATCGCTTAAAACAGCAACTGTCCCTGTATTGGATGTCTAAGATACCAAAAAGAATAGAGCCATTTTTTCTCTTACTAAAATAATAAAATATAACATTCTATCAAAGAATAACAAAGATACAATACCTTCTTTCTTTAATATTTCTTTTTATATCCTGCTCAGTTTTCTGCCGTCAGACTGTTGTTGCCAGTTTTTGTAATTTTCTGAGTTTTTCAGCTTGTGTTCACTGCAAAAACACAAAATCTTACCAAGCATTTTTGGTACCAGTACAAATATTTTACTACATTTGAAATGAGACAAAACTAGCTTACAAATAACTTTTCAGTAAGATATAGTAGCTTGTTTGAGTAAATAATTCCTTAATATTAATGAAAAACTACTAGATCCATCGGCAGATTGTTGCACTTATAACATAGGGAAAATGTCTTGTTATAAATGAAATTATCTGCCAATGGAACTAATACTTTTTCATCAATATTAAAAAATAACTGTCTTAAAACAAGCTCCTATATCTTGCTGAAAAGTTACTTAAAAGTTAGTTCTGTCTTATTTAAAGTGTACTAAGATATTTGAAATAGAAACTAGGTAAAAAAAAATAATACTTGGTACGATTTTGTGTTTTGCAGTGTTGGAGGAAATGCCTGGTCCTCCAGCTTCAGCAGCAGCTGATTCATGTTCAAAATGAAGCAAAATGTTTTTCCTAACCCAGCTGCCTCTGGTGAGGCCTTTTATTTCCATTTCTCTCTGCTTAATCAAAGAGATTCTGCCTGTTTCAATCTTTCTGTCTTCATCATATTTTTCTCAGCAACAGCACAAGAACAGACTGGTGAGCTTCATAAAAATGATCTCATAAGTTAATCATGTACGACTTGACTTCATCCAGAGGTTGAAAGTAAAGAACACACACACACACACACACACACACACAC